GAGTAATGTTCGAAACTCTCACTCTCAAAACCCTCATTGCCGAACTCTCAAGGTTTGTTTTCTTCAGTTTTCTTCAAACACATTGATCACTAGCTTTAAATTACTAACCCAACTTACCTCATCCCCACCACAGAAGAGATTTGTGTTGTTAGCAAATTTTTGATGGGTTACTAGGACCCTATCCCTCCCTACCCTCCAGCCTTTCACCAAGTTTCTAGAATTTGCCCTCTCAATGAGCTTCCATAGGACTTCGGCAATTAGGGCAAAAAGGAAAGGAGAAAGGGGGTCCCCTTGCCTAATGCCCCTAGTAGCCAGAAAGTGATCTACCACCTTACCATTCACTAAAATAGAATAGTGGCATGTCCTAATACATCCTTTCACCCAACTACACCACTTCTGCCCAAATCCAAAAGACTCTAGGACTTCCAATAAGAATGACCAATCCACCAAATTGTATGCCTTTTCAAGATCCAATTTGCACACCAACTCTTTCTTCCCACTTCTTTTGAAATCTTCCATTCTCATTTGCAATTAGGATTTGATCCACAATTTGTCTATTCTTCACAAAGGCACCTTGATTCGGGGAAATTATTAAGGGTAGCACCTCTTTAATCCTCCGAGATAACACCTTGGCAATGATTTTATAAAGGTTGTGTACCAAACTGATGGGCCTGAACTCTTTGGGGTGACAAGCTCCTCCCTTTTTCGGAATCAGAGCAAGGAAGGTAGAGTTTAGACCTGGATTGATCACCCCTCTTTCAAAAAATTCAGAAAACACTCTTTGAATATCATCCTTAAGTATCTCCCAGCAGCCTTGATAAAACGCCATCGTAAAGCCATCAGGACCAGGTGCCTTAGATCTATTCATCGAAAATATGGCTACCCTTATTTCTTCTAATTCGAAACTTCTCTCCAACCACACCCTCGAGTCTTCTGGGAGCCTAGGCCACTCCAAACCTCCAATCTGTAATCTGCTAGACATAGGCCTTTTGTAGATGGACTTGAAATGGTCCACAAAAGCCCCTTCAATCTCATTCTCCTACCATTGGCTATAGCATGAAAGAATTTTGTGTTCCTATCACCTTCCTTTACCCACTTGTGCCTGGACTTTTGCCTCCAGCTAATTTCTTCTAGAAGAGGATATCCTCCAAATTTTTCCTCAACTCCCACCTTAGCTCATTGTCTCTTTCCCCAAACAAGCGTAATTCTTCTTTTGCATCTAGCTCCTCAATCTGATTAACCAACTGTTGTTTTCTTTCCTCTAGCCTCCCAAAATGAAGAATATTCCATTCTTTGATTTTACTTTTTAGCTCTTTCAGCTTCCAGTGAAATTTCATACCTTCCTAATTGACCCTTGGGTTACTTCCTAACCACCACTCCTTTATTTTCTCCTTAAAACCTGGATGGGACAACCACATATTCTCAAATTTGAAGGGGGTAGGTCCTCTATTCCTAGGCTCAAGCTTACTTATCAAAACTGGCCAATGATCAGAGATGACTCTAGGCAATGTCCTTGACACCATGTCTCCTCAATGTTCCTCCCAATCAGCAGTGAAGAGATATCTGTCTAATTTTGAACAAATTGGTTCAGCTTGGAGATTGGACCATGTGAAACAGTTATGCGAGAGATTCAGTTCTTTGAGCTCAAACAAATTGATAAACTCATTGAATTTCCTCATACTTGTGGTATTTCTTTGCCGCACATTGTTACACTCAGTGAATCTAATTACATTAAAATCCCCTCCTAAACACCAAGGACCTTCCCATAAGCCTCTGATATCTTCTAGTTCTTCCCACAACTCATTCCTCTGCCTGTACCCATTAGGGCCATAGACATTAGTTAAGACCCATTCACAACCATCGACCACCTGTTTGAATTTGACAGAAACTGAAAATCTTCCAACTAATTCTTCAACTCCTTCCACAATGTTACTATCCCTCCAGAAGATCCCCAAGAGGGGCTCATTGCCCAACTAATACCATTTGCTCTCCACACACTTCTGGCCCACCTACTATCAAGTGTCATGAGCTTAGACTCCTGAATTAGGAGTATATCTGGGTTTTCCTTTCTTTATAGCTCCTTTATTAACACTCTCTTTCTTACATTCCCAATACCTCTCACATTCCAACTCACAATCTTCATTCTACCTTCTTAATCTGTCCATAATCTCTTTTTCTTCCTATCTACCTCCTTTCCTTCCCCTTCCCTTTCTTTCACTGAATTTGTATTGTAGACGACCAAATCATGCCCATATTAATGTAACCTGTATTCTGCTGTTGAAGTTCTTCCTGGCTCTTACATTGACCTCTCACTAACTTATTTGTTATTTTTTATTGAAGGCTGTAAGTCATGGTAGGGCTCTTGTACGAATATCTATTGGCAACAATGCAAGGAAGTCAGACTATATTATGGTACTTACATTTTATCAGTTATGAAACTATTGGAAATTTCTTATGCAGTGTTTGGATGCATCTGTAGGCTGAACTTCTTATAATTATCCAGCTAGAAAGTGTTCACATAGCTTCTGTTTATAGAAGACTTCTGCATTCCATGTTTAATGTATGGATGTATTTTTCAGATTTCAGTTGGTGCTCATTTACATCCACAGAATCCAGTCCTACATGTGGGTCGTTATCTCAACTTCAGTGTAGAAGGTGGGTCTTCTATTGGCATCTCCTACTTGAGGGACTCAGCTTTTCTTTCATTCTATTGTACTCTTTTTATGCTTGAAAATGTTTAATATGTTTGATTTTATTTTTAAATTTTCATCTGAATGCACTTTAAATGTTATGCTTATGTATTTTAATTTTAGATAATAGGTTTTTAAAACATTTATTTTAAAATTTAAGTTTATATTTTTTATTAATATTATGTTTAATATTTTTTGCATTCTTTTAATTTTCTGACATTTTAAATTCTTTTTGGCATTTTTGTATTTTTGCACCTTGAGCTTTTAAAACACTGATAAGGTTTATCTCTGAACAAATTTTGCACTGCAACCCAAGAGTAGATTCTGCCCCATAGAGCCTTGACAATTTCTTCTTCCATTCCTGCACATCTTTCAAAAATTCTGGAATTTCTTTCCAGCTACACTGTCCATACTAAGGCCAGAGGCATGGTATTTTCCCAAACAACTTTTCCTTTTTTTGCTTGCCACATTAATATATCTTATATTTTAGCTCAACCCTTATTAAAATTTTAATACTGATGGCTTGTTTGGAAAAGTTTGTTGCTTGATATTTCTATGATAAATTTTGCAGGATATAACCCAACTTATATCTCACTTCTTTTTAATATGTGGTTTTCTTTTCATGTTTAGATATAATTAAAATTTAAAATCATATATTAATTGAACAAGAGATACATAACTGGTAAACTATCACATATATTTCTGTTACAAAAACAGTTGCTACCTCAGGAACGTAGGTGACATTTTGTAATGTTCCAACGGAACATTCCTAGAACAGAAACATAACCATATCTTTGGTCCCAGAAACACCATAGATGTTCCTGCGGAACGTTACCAATGGTGTCTGAGGTACTTGAATATCTATTCTTTAATGAATGTACATCCATATTCTTTTGGTTTGTAAAATCTCAGGCTAACAAGTTTGAGGACATGGGTTCAAGTCTAGGAGCAGCCACTTTGTGCTAAAAAATGCCAAAGGTTTGGTCTGTATCCAATCTATCTCCTGCAAGATCCTAGATATCTAGGATCTACATGGGGTAATTGATGTAAGTCATGTAACAGAATGCATTTAGCTAGATCAGTTTGAGCCTCTTTGGAAGCCCAAAAAGAAGCTAAAGATGAAGAGAAGGATGAAACGGCTTGAAAAAAGTCCTTTGGCCTCATTCTGGTCTCCAAGGAAATTCACAGGAGAATAGTTGGTGAAAACCAAAAGTGCGGTCTTCTTAAGAATAGGGTATTAAGTTTTCTAGAATTTTACTGTTATTTCAAAATTACTATTCATAGTAAAATCGTGATCTACTATTTTTAGTAATTTCTGGTGCTTTACATTTAATTTAGAATTAGTAAAGTGTTATTAGTTCATTTTAGGACTTAGAATCTTTATTGGAGTGTCCCTATGAGTTACCTATGGATTGTCATAGTTTTAAAGCAATTAGAAGTTGATTTGGGTCAGTTTCCTAGTTCAAATTGGTAAAAGGACATCTAAGTTCTCATGGCGAGTCTATTAATAGTCACGTAATTGCAATTTGGAATATTTGATTTGATGAAATAAAGTTCTATGAGGTCTAACTGTTATTTACTCTCACAGCAAGAGTTATTTTCCCTCTTTCTACTCTTTTGCACATTCTTTGGTGGACAGCAAGCTGTCTACTTACTTTTCCATATATAGCTTTGTCAATTCCTTAGCCATCTTTTTATCTACCTAACTGTATGTTTGTACTTCTAGGGTCTCATTCCATCTGTTATGGCTCATCCAACTATAACATCAGAATCCCCTTTGACTCTCAAATTTGTAAGGTTTGATAAATAATAATATATGTATATCCATATTAACAAAGAAAAACTGAAGTTATAGGGAATGATATGTCACCAGTTCAACCATCTGGGTCAAATGGGCCAACCCGTGACATGTCAGATATGTATATATATGTACATATAAATATGTACACACACATATATAGGTATAAATATGTATTATATTAATAAAATAATGTATAATTATATTCTACACGTAATATATGTATATATAAGTATTATTTTATGTTTAATTTACATTTTTTAATTCAATTTTTCATTTTTTATGTATAAAAAATGCTAAAAGTTATGATTTGAAGCCAAAAAGGGGTTTTTTGGCAAAAATAGCAGGGCAAGTCTCCTTTGGCCTCTTGGGATGCATAGATCTCAAAACGTTACCTAAAATAGAAAAAAGATCACCCCAATTGGACATCGGAGTGAAAAGTTATGGCCTCCGAAAATTTGCATATGCATTTAGTATGCAGCCTGTGACCTGGTGACCGGGCTGAATGCGTCAACGTTCAACCACCCAGGTCAAATGATTTTGACCCAATCAACGGTTTTTGAAGGATTTCCGGGTTTTATGAGACCTGGACCTGGAATTATGACTGGGTGACGGTTTGAACTGTTTGACTGTCCAGGTCAACAGTGGGTTGAGAACACTACCATATTATATATGTGCTAGGCATGTGTGCATGTGTAAGAAAGGGTTTACTGGTGCAAATATTATGCCCGTTTAGGGGCATTAGTTCAAGTATTGGTAAACACATAAATGCAACAGACAACATGGCCCTTTAGTGGAAGATGAAATGGGATCATGTAGACAGCTCCAAATAGTTGGTGTAAGGCTTTCTGAGTGGAGTTGAACTGACAACTGAGTTGAGATATGAACGGGTAAGATTTTACACATTTCTCTTGTATAAAATTTGTTGGACTTTGTAGCTGATAAAAAAAATTGTTGGATTTTGTAAAAAGTGTTTCATTAACTTAAAATACAAGGATAAGTGCATTTGCACATGACATTGAACATCAACAAGAACACATGACTAAATTCATATTAATGGTTCATAACATGATGAGTTGGGGCAACATTACAGCTTATGTTAGCATTTCTCCTGTGGCCAGCTTGTTGGAGCTTCATGTCATATTGAGAAAATGGGAATGAAATATGAGAGTCATTGATGTGTACATGGTGTCAAGAAAGAAAATGTGGGGGAATGAAATCAGTTTTCTCTTGATTCCTTATCCAATGCAAATTTCATAATTTTTGGATGATTGGAATTTTGATCAAAATTCTTTGGAAGTTATTTTTTAGTTTAGTAGTGTCTCACTTTATAGCTTGTTGTGGTTGTTTTTTGACCCTTTAATGAATTCAATGCCTTTTTCAAAAAGGGTTATCTATTCATTTTAACTTTAGCTTGCTGTGGTCAAAACTTGTCTGTTTTCTTTGATTTTGTTGGCAGTGTTTGTAGTAACAGGATTTAGTTTAGAGTTCTTATTTGCCTTTTTGAAGCAAGGCACAAATTAATATATATACCTGAATTTTGAAAGAATTAAATGCTAAATACATAAGCATAACATATAAGACATCTTCAAAGTGAAAATGTGGAAGTGAAAGTGAACATATATGGGCCATACTAAAGTGCTTTGTGCATCCAACGATTCAAGCATGTGAAACTTTTAATTTGTTTATTATCTCGTAGTTCCATTACTTAGAGTAGCTAGTGTGATATTAAAACTTTCATTCCTAATCCTAGGATATTGGCCCTCCACCTCTGTAAAGGCCCCTTGTGGCAAGCTCAAAGTCTATGTGGGGTTTGGGGCAGCACCTCCAACCTAATTTTTTGGCATGTATGTATAAAAAGGTGCTGGTTTTGTAATTTTAGTTGCAGTTCATTCTTTTTTAGAACTAGGGATTAGATACTAGTTGTATTTTTGTTGCTTTTTTAGTGGAAGTTTTGCCATTGAAATCCTTTTTGCAAGAACAAGACTATAAAAAGTATTCAAAGGGTATTTATTTATTTTTTGAAAGGAAGTATGGTATTATATTAAAAGATAACAAAACATGTACAGCAAGTTTCTGTACCCAGGGCTTTTACAAAAGCTAAGCACTACAATCCCAACCCTGTAACCCCGTTTTACAAAAAGGTTTTCATGTATGAAAAAGGAACCAAAAGGTTTTTATTTTTGTTTTTCTTGAATAATGCATAGACCATTACAAGTATACAAATAGCAATAAAATGGTGATGTAGAAGTTGATGTACCATTGCAAAGGTGTAAAACACATAGGAATCTTGAAAAAATAACAAAAAAGAACTTATTTAAAAATGGAATGCACTTGAGCTGAGGTAAAAGGATTAGGGGTAAAATGCAATGAATTTCCTTTTGTCATAATTTCTATCCGCTTTTTCCATCTTTTTCCTCAGGGTGAGGACATTGTGCCTTTGGACTTTTCCTAGTTCCGACGATTCAGTAGTTTAAGATTGGACCATTCTGTTTACAAAGATCTTCATGTTCTATGTGATTAAGATCCTACATTTCTCTGTATGTTGCAGGACTGAGTGATCTGGTTTCAGGCCAGTGGTTGAGTTCCAATGAAAGTGTTATATCTGTGGATATGTTATCTGGAGAAGCCCATGCGGTTGGGGAAGGGACATCTCAAGGTACATAATCAAAATACTTTAACAGACTAACTTTCTCTTCTGCTTGTATAGTGGTGTATGTGTTTATAGAAGAAAAATGAAGGGGTAAAGCTTCATTTGGAAATCCCATCATCCAAGATGAAGCTAGAGACTAGGGAGATTTAAAAAAGTAATTATTAGGTTTCATGAAAGAAATGACATTTCTGTTTGCACAAAAAGTGCATCTTTGAACTACTTACTGCGTAGAACAAGAGAATCAAAGAACAATTGTTTTCATGCCTTTCGATTACCAATTTGAACAGGACCATGCTTCATTTAGATTTCTATGATCTCGTCTAAATGTGCCAAATGATAGGAGAAGGGTTTATCTCCATTAAGTCCAAGCGTACTGCGTCCTCAATGCAGCAGTTGGTTAATTACCAGCCTAAATTCAGGGATCCCTAGGAGAAAGTGGCACCACCACCTTTGGATGTTGAAAAAAAGTTGGTTTATGACTTAACATTATACTAGTCTGGAGAACAAATATTTTGGGGACTGGGGTGTAATCTTTTCCAGATAACAAGGTTGGTGTCAGTGGAAATGCCGGTCGTCCAAATATAAGAAACATGTTGGAAATGTCGGAAATATTGTAAAAGTTATAGACATGGTGGAAACATTGTAAAATATGCAAAATATAGAATGATATTTTGTGAAATGATAAAAGAAGCATAGGCACACCTTTTTTAAATTATTATCTTGTTCCAAGTCATTAACAAAGCTAAGAAACTAAGGTTATATTCCAAAAGAATATGTTTTGAAGTTGCCCAATAAACCTTAAAATCCATAGTGTCATGAGTTGAAGCAAAATTTAAACTCATAGAAAATGTAAATGGTTGTAATAGATCAACAAAATAAAGTATTACACAAACAAAAACTAATATTTAATTTCTTGTTTGAAATGAAAATTGAACTAGCTCAAAGTGGTTACTCCACATATCTACATTATTGTCACCAACTTAAGTTATAATACTATCTCTTGTACTCTACATAGTGTTGATAGTTTTCACTGGGGAATATGTCAATTCCAGTAAAATTTCATGTTGCTACCCATGGAAGCAAAAATGGAAATCTGTCGTGGGAACTATCTCTTGTGCTCCACATAGTGCTGGCAGTGTTCATTGGGGAATATGTTGATTCTGGTAAAATTTTGTGTCGCTACCCATGGAAATGGAAATGTGCCATGGAAATATTAGGGAAATTAGGGGACAGTTCAATTACCAAAAAAATTAGGGGACAGTTTAAACCATTTAGGTATGGACCATTGTTTGGCACAATGGTATTATCTTGTGTTGACAAGTGTGAGAATACAGGCTCAAATCTGAGAGCAGCTATTTTGTGCAAGAAGTTGCTTAAGGTTAGGTCTGTATTGAGTCCATTCCCCAAGAACCCAGATAGTTGGGACCAACAAATAATAGGGAAACTAGGGACATTTTAAACCATAGGTATGGACCATTGTTTGGTACAATGGTATTATCTTGGGTTGACAAGTGTGAGAATACAGGCTCAAATCTGAGAGCAGCTATTTTGTGTAAGAAGTTGCTTGAGGTTAGGTCTGTATTGAGTCCATCCCCCAAGAACCCAGATAGGTGGGACGAACATTAGGTGTAAAGGTCCCAATCTTCCATTAAAGGTGGTTGTGTCTGAAAGATCTCTACTCAAATATGTAAAGGAAATGCACCCTTTGGAAAAATTGTTTTCTGAACTTTTTAATAGTAATAGGTAATAGTCTTTATACCACCCATTTTTCTGTATTATAGAGAAGCAGGGGATGCAAGCATAATGGTATTCTGCTCCTTTCAATCATCTTTATGTTGTTGCATTTGGGAATAGTTTAGTCCTATTCATAATTAATATATGCCTTTTTCTTAACAGTAATTTTTGAAGGTTTGGGTTTGAAACTGCAAACAACAATAACGGTTCTTATGGAAGATCAGGTTTCAGTTGATGCGCCAACAGAGACATTAACAAATGTTCCCTTCCCTTCAAGGGGATATAACTTCTCCGTGAGCTTTAGGTTTGCATTTATCTCACTTTTATTTGTTAGCAATTATGTACAAGTTTTTTTGGAGTCCATTATTTTTGTGATTCTATTTGCTGACTGCTTATTCTCCTTGAATTTCTGAATTCCATATCTTCTAAAAGATTCATAGTTTGCATTACATTTTGACTTAACAAGACAATGAACATGATACACCATTAATGCCCATTGACTTTACCAAGTTATTAGTGTCTCTAGAGTACCTTTTAGGGGCCATTGCTTGGTGCAATGGTTAAATCTCGAGTTGACAAGTGAAGCACGTAATAAAATGGGTCTGAATCTGATAATAACCACTTTGTTCAAAAAACGCAAAAGTTCAGGCCTGTATCCAGTCTACCCCTCCCAAGACCCTGGATTGCTTGGACCAACTTTGGGTAATTGCCCTCTCTCATGTAGATGTTTTTTTATTGAATAATACTCAACTTGTTCATGCATGTTTTTGCATCAACATTGGGATGTCCCCC